AAATTTGAAGTGCAATGTCACGCATGCGTTAATAAATGTTGACATTGCTATATGAATGATGATGTGCTCATGAATATGTATGTATTTTTTGTTAATAATGCCTGCACGTTGACAACTACCAATACAGTTTCTGTGTATAATTCCAACTGTTTGATGACGTTTCACAAAATTCTACGTGGATTCCTTAAAAAGGCTCAATTTTCATCTAAATTTTGCCATTCAAACATTCATTCACGATCAGTTTGACTATATGAAAGCTCCACTTTTTCAAAAGAATTAAAAGAATTTTCAATTTTGCATTCAATCAAGTCTTATTGGCGAATCTTATGCGTAATCTTTCTTTAGCCGTATTTTTCCTTCTCATACGTTCTCTATAATTATGTGCTTACTATTGTGAACCACTCCTTCATATGATTGCTTTTGCGAGCGATTGCGTTTGAACTTTCTTAAGACGAACATTATTCGTTTGAATTGGGTCAGCAAGTGCTTTAGCGTACAACAGCTCATCTTCTTTGTATTTCCCTTATATTTGTACGTTTTCTTCAGCGAAAAATTTTATCTCCACATCAACTTTTCCTTTACTTATGCACGAAACTTGCAGTCGACTTGGAAGTTTTGAATGTTTTCTTTCTTCCAGTNAAATCCAGTACTTTTTAATAAATTCAATGCATATGAAACGAAAAACTTTCCAAAATGCTCTCTTTTTCGTGCTTTTTTCAAATTCATGATTTTTTAAGGTTTATCTTTAGTGAAAGCTGGTCACTGAATCGAATAACAATCGATTGGATTATCAACTATCAATCTAGCAAAGTTCAGTCAATCGTCCACCGCAACGTGGCATCATATATAAATCAATAGCTGCACATCTGATTCTCGAGAACGAAATAAACTCGAGCTTGTCAAGATTTCACGGAGAATAACTGCCGAAAAATCTGCCATCCCATCTATTGAAGAAGGTGTTACTGGATTGCCGGTTGGTATTGTGTGTAAAGAATTTGTAAATTCTGTCTTCGTTTCCGCAATATTTCGTCAAGCAATTGAGCAACTTATTAAGAGTTACAATGCCCGGTACACAGAATTCCACGTTTGCCACCACATCCTCGTCCACATCTAATGCAGTCTCGAGTAATATGAATGCGGCCGCTCAAGTGTCTCTAGCCGATGGCCATACGGAACGACCACCGAACGGAACTTCTCCTGGGGTTGCAGGCTGCTCTTCTGCGGATCCAATGGATTTGGATGTTACGGCAGCACTAACGGAATCGTCGAATCACGAAAAACTCATTCATACGGATTTTTACAATGATTTTGGTGATTTATTTGATCATGTCAAATATTGAGTGATGACAAGAGATGTATCGAGGAGAAATTTCTATATCTCTTTAG